TCCCATGCAATGGCTGGGATACTCAATTAGAACAACAACAACAACAAAAAAGGATACTATCTGAAATTCACATTTAGCTGATGTTTCATGTTTTATTTGAGAAGCCTTGTGTGCAAACCTACAGGCTTAATCTGCAAATTTTGATTCCGTGGGTTTAGGGGAGCAGAGAAGGGCAAGGGATTAGGGCCAAACATTTCCTGAAGTTCTTTCTGCATGTCTGCAGTACCATCCCAGGGCCATATGCTGACTTATTCCTGGGAAATCTGGAGTGTGGCTGGCTGAGTTGAGAGTGTTGCAGCTGGGTAGGGTCTTCCCTTAACTTCTAGATTGAGGACCCAGTGGGTGCTGGTAGGGGAGAGACACTTGGGATAGTCCTAGGATGCATCCATACATCTGGGAAGATGTAGAGAGTCTTTAGAAAGAGATCTTAGGGATGGACAGTAGACATTTGGATCCTGAGAGGAGAATGGGACCTTGGCACCGTGATAGTTTTTCCTTGGCCTGCATGGGACAGTGAGGATCAACACACAGGTCTACCCACAAGAATTAGCCATAAGTGGTCTCCAGAATGAGAGAACATGGGTCTACTGCTTGGGCTAGCTCAGCTGACCCACATTCTTCCCCAGCTTTGGCCCTTGGAGAAGAGGGAGCAGAGCCAGTGTGGAAAAGAGCATGGGGCCTTTATACCTTGTCTGAGGAGGGAGCTGAACACTCTCCCAGTCAGAATAAAAGTATTGACTGTGGCCAAGGGAAATTAAAGCTAGATTTGGGGGCAATGATGGATGGTATAACTAATGCACAAGACAGGGAGAGAAGGCATGAGGCACCTCAAACATTTCTGTGAGTTCATAGCAAGTCATTCCCCTGTGTGGTGTATAAACAGAGTAGGAAGCTCGGAGCTGTTGTCCATAGTCCTATGCTGCTCTGTGCAAGCACCGCAATCCTATCACCCTCCCCTTCCTGGTGCCTTTGCAGCAAGGTTGTCCTTATGGCCATTGGGAAAAATCTTGCCAGGGCTCCATTATTTTCTTCCAAAGCACCATGAGAAACCTGAGCCAAACAAGTAACCTTTGTAGGGAGGCAGACAGCAAGTAGAAGTGAAATCTTCCATTTCTGCCCAAGTTCTTATGGCATGTGGCCAGCTGATCATAACTGCTTTCTATGGAACTAGGGGTTGACCTCAAATCTCCTTCAGTGGTGCGGTGTAAGCAGCCATTACCATGGTAACTCAATAAAACCCACGGTCACAATTGGAGCATCAAGTTACAGGCACAAGTCTTCACCAGCATCCAGCAAATGCCATGAACCTCACCTGGGACACTGTGTTCCTGGAGGCGTCCCTCTGTTCACAGTGCCCATGACTAATAGTTACCAAACTGACAGGAGATGGCCTCTGTGCTACATGATAGTACGGACTCTTCAGCCATGTGTGCAAGACACCCACCTTCAACTTCAGCTTCCACCATCCCCATAAGAGACCTGGGGGTACTTCATCTCAGAGTGATTTCTTAGTAACAGCCCTCTTAGCTGGTGAGAGGATGGCTGTGGTCATAGGGACATTTGTTGTGACAGTGACAAGAAAGATCTATGGCCCAGAACACAACTTAATTACTACGTTTGCATTTGGAGTCAAGTGAAAGCTCATAATTTCTGACTTGTCCTAGCCATACCCTTGGAGGTCACCTTGCTGTCACTCCCCTTAGATTAAAAAGTGAGGTACACTTCAGGTGTGGAGTATTGATTTACTCGCAGAACTCCTCCAGACAGTGAAGAGATTTGCTGTCATCTTCAGTGTGCAGAAAGATTCCAAACTATGTTGAGTTATCCCTTCCCTTGTTTGGGGGAGAAAAAAAGACTGAGGCCTTTAGATACACAGCCTCTAATTCTCCCACACTTTTAATAAATGTTCTCAGACATTCATGAGGGAAAAAGACACTCATGGACTTTAAATGGTTTGCTCAAGATGATACAGGTCCGCGAGGGTGGGACCATGGCACCCATTATTCATTCTGATGCGGGAATGAGGGTGTCTCTTGGCATGGAAGCAATAGAAATGAGACCAAGTCGCACATTTTGAATAAGACATTCAAAACTTCACTGGGGGTAGGGAGAGAAGGGCAGCTTGAGGATGTCCACCAGATCATGCCACACTGAACAGAGAGCAGGCTCTTATTGGACTTTATAAGGATGGGCTAGTTTGGTTAAAAAAAAAAAAAAAAGATACCTTTACATTCTGCTGAGGAAGCTAGGTAACTGTTATCCTAACCCACAGGTCAGGGGCGCTATCTGCAGCAAAGTTAGTGGGGAGTTACTATATTGCTCAGCTGTGAGCTAGGTAAAGGGGTGCTAGCTGTATGGGATGGGTCCTAGGGCCATCATCTCAAGGTCCTAGGGCCATCATCTCAAGTGTCTCTCATTTAGCAGCTTGTCTGAACTAGCTGAGGGTTCTGGGAAGACCCTAACCAGTCAATAAACATTCTCCTTCTGTGGCATTATCTGGTGTTTTACAACAAAGCTGAGAAAGGTCAGCATTGAGGGTGAAGGAGACACATACTCTTGTGTTAAGGGTAAATGGTTAAAGGCCCTGAGTTTGTCTTTTGGCCCCCTTGTGGTAGTCCCCACCCACTTCAATTCCAACTACTTATTAAATTCCCAATAAGTACTGGGTAGCATTCTAAGGACAGAGGATGTAAGAGCAAAGAAAAAGAAAAGACCCTTGCCCTCACCAGAGTTAGAACCTAACAGGGGGAACAAAGGGACAATACTGAGGGTGTGGACTGTGTTGGATATCCATTGGAGATAAGGGAAGACAGAGCAGGCAAAGGACACAGAGACGGAGGCTTGGACAAAGAGCAGGTTGGTGGCTAATACTGTCAAAATGACAGAATCTGAATCACCTAGGAGGCAGCCTCCAAGAGATTATCTAAATTAAGTTAACTGAGGCATGAGAAGCCACATCAGCTATGGCCAGTACCATCCCTTGGGCTAGGATCCTAGACTGAATGAAAAGGGGAAAGCAAGCTGAGAACCAGTATCCGTCCTTCTGTGCTTCCTACTGTGGAGGCAATGTGGCCAGCTTCCCCAAGTTCCTACCACTATGATTCCCTCACCATGATGGACTGTATCCTCAGACTGAGAGCCAAAAGGAACATTTTTTCTTTAAGTTGAATTTGTAGGGGCATCTTCTCATAGCAAGAGAGCAAGTAATTATCCAGAAAGCACCATTTGACCAAGCGACTGGAACCTTGAGGAAGTTGAGAGGCTTCTAAATGACCTAGGAACCTTGTACATACCACTGTTTCTGAAGCAGGCACTTCATGCCTTCAGTCAGGGTGCACTCCTTCGCTGAGTGACAGGACTGTTGATGAACGAGAGTAGATAAGGTGGTGTCTTCCAGTAAGCCAGGGCGTGCATCCTGGAGCCGCTTATTTTGTTAGTTTGAAGTTAGGGAAAACTAGCATCTTAAAATGCTGATGAGAAGGATGATGGTGTGGAGAGGGTAATAATGGATGATGGACAGGTGATGGGAGTGGGGGGGGGGGAGACTGCTCACAAAATGCTATCCCCAGACAATCCTCTCTCCCAGCTCCTTACCCAGAACCACCTATGACTCCCCTTCACTCCCTTACAATCTCCAGGCTCCTTTTCTGGTTCCGCCTCTTGTTAGTAAATATCAAGGTAGGCAGGCCTATCTTGTCTCTGCATGCTCTCTGTGGCATCACTTTCATCTTAGGACCTCACAGGTGGACCCCTTTCCCAGGTCATTGGTGTTTCCCAAACTTCCAATCTGCACTGTTTTTGGACTATGCATGCTGTAGAGCCAGTGGCCATGGCACTTTAATAGCTGTTGTTATTCTGTTTCTCAGCAGTCCATTTAACATAAGGCCACCAACATCCCTCACCTAGCTGACTTCCTTTGTGGTATTTTCTGTTCTAGTTTTACCTACCCACCCTCAAATAACATGTTTCCATGTTATATTGAGTAGTCTCTCTCTCTCTCTCTCTCTCTCTCTCTCTCTCTCTCTCTCTCTCTCTCTCTCACACACACACACACGCGCGCACACGCGCGCACACACACACACACACACACATACACGGAGTGTGAGAGTGACAGAGTATGTGTATATGTGTGTGTGAGGTACATATGGAGGCTAGTGAACAAACTTGGAAACTTGGGTGTTATTCCTCAGGCTCTGTTCATTGTGTGTGTGCATGTGTACGTTTGTTTTATGTGTATGAGCATTCTGCATGCATGCATGTATACCATGTGATGTATAGTGTTCTTAGAGGTCAGAAGAAGGCATCAGATCCCCTGGAACTGTAGTTATGGATATTGTGAGCCAACTTGTGGATGCTGGAAGTTGATGAGTCATTTATTCTAGGCCCTACCACTGACCCGGCATATTTTATTTTAAATATAGGGGTTGTAACTATCCTGGGAGTTGCCAAGTAGGCTAGGTTGAATAGCCAGCAAGTCCCAAGGATCTGCCTACCTCTGTCTCTCTAGCCCTGGAATTACAATCGTATGCCACCATGCCCCCTACCTTTTTAAATAAAACACAGCTTCTAGAGATTGAACTCAAGCCCTGGCACTTGCAAGGCAAACACTTTGCTGACTGAACTATTTCCACAACCCACCCTAGAGTGATCTTAAGTAACATTTTAATGTAACATTAATAACCACTTTAATTCTGTTCCTATCAACCCATGATAGGGTTGAAGTTTCTATAGAGGCACATGGAACGTTTGAGACCCAATTTCAGAGAATATAAAATCTCACCCAGAGACCCAAAACTTTACTGCCAGAGCTCCTCAAGATGTGCAGGGCCAAGGGCAGGGCCAGAGAGAACACAGGCAGATGATGGTCATCATGAAGCATCCAAGGTGTCCTTTAGCAGCAATGCAAAGGTATCTATAACCAGAAAGGACTGGGAGAGCGACTTGCCTCAATCAGGCTGTCTGCTCCTCCTCTCTAATCCCAGAATTTACTGTGATGTCACCAGGCCAGGCTCTGCCATGCATTTGTGATGCCCAACTATGGCAGCTGCAGCTGCTGCTGTGTCAGTATAGGCAGGACATCAGGGTGGGCAACACCGGACCGGAATGACAACACGATGCTCTCCCTTCTAATGGCACTTCTCATGGCATCTCAGGGACATGCCCAGGACCAAGGTTAGTGTCTGGTTAGCCCAGAACAAAAGGTAGGGAAAAGCCTGCTATCTCACCCCTGGACCTCCTGGAGTGCATGGGGAGCTCCAGGAGGTGTAGAGTTAGAGGGTTCTAACCCAAATCCAGAGAACATAAAATCTCACCCAGAGACCCAGAGCTCTTCGCCACCAGAGATGGCAGTAGATGGAATATGGCTCAGGAAATGAGGGGACAATGACTCCTCATTGATCAAAACTGGACTGGTTGAGGATGCTACCTACAGTGAATCCCTTAGAATCTGAGCCCAGAGTTCTAGAAGCACAGGAGACTTGGGGCAAAACCAATAACTGGCTATATTTCTCCTACTCGACTCCCTCTCTGTAAATGAATCAAGGCTCTTTCTATAGGCCCAGACCTTGAAAGAGGCAGCAGAAAGGTGTGGGGTTGAATAGGGATACACTTAATTAAAAAATATTTATTTTTACACACATTGTTGTAAGAAGTCAGTTCCTGCAGCATTTGCTCTGTAGTCCTGGGAGATGCCCCATAGAGAAAGCTCTGTAGGTAGACCAGATGTACAAATGTTTAGTGCTCTTTCTGCAGAAATACAGTAGGACCCCCCCACACACACACAAAAGGTGCTGGCATGTATTATGGTTCACAGAGTGGCTTTGTTGTATTTAATCTGTGTTTCCTACCTTCCTATTATCTATCTTCATCCATCTATCTCTATGTCTGTGGTGTGTGTGTGTGTGTGTGTGTGTGTGTGTGTGTGTGTGTGTGTTCATCTCCCTTGAAGTCACTCATGGCTGTTTTACAATTCTACCAAGTAACAACATTAGCCAGTATATTTCTGTTGTTTTTCCTCCCATTGCCCTTCCCTCGCCCTTTAAACATAGAATATGCGTTAATGATTTCTGTGGATGGCCCACTTTTGTTAGTTTTCATTTTCCTGCACTGGCCATTTTCAGTTTGGAACTATTTTCTAGTGGGCCTTCCTTTGATTTCCCTCATATGCCACCCAGACCTTAGCTAGGAAGGTTCTGGAAATGTGAAGTGAGGATTTCTGGTCTGGGCCCCTTGTGTTTGGTCCCCTCGTGTCTGGATCCCTCTTGTATCAATGTATCTTTATTTTCTCTTCAAAATCAGTTCTGTGTGGCCACAGACCTGCCTTCCCAAACTCATCATGGTTGCCATTCCGAGAGCTGCTTGAAGTCCAGAATGGTGAATTCCCATGGCAAGTGAGTATCCAGATGCTTGGGAAACACCTGTGTGGAGGCTCCATCATCCATCAGTGGTGGGTTCTGACGGCAGCACATTGCTTCCCAAGAACCCTGTAAGTGTCTGGGCATCGCCTTAATTTATGTCACATGTAGTGCACATGCAGTCTGGACTAGTCACTAATACATGAAGCCTTTGACGCCATAGGCTCTGTGTCCAGTGGCTTTGGACTGAAGTCTGCTCCTATCTATTCATCCCTCTTGACTTGATCAACTATATCCCAAGTTGGCTGTTTCTTGTAGCTCAGCACCAGTGTTATAAAAATCAGTGTAGGCTTCCCTTTTCCTGCCAACCATCTGTATACTAAGAATTCATTCATTCATTGTGCATGCATTGAGTACCTACTGGCTACAGTTTCAAGAGGGATATAGTTGTCAGTAAGAGAGCCAAGATTCCTGTTTCCAACATGTTTATATCCTCTTTCCTCAATGGGTACCTTGTAGTTCTATTGACCAGAACTTCCCCTGAGTTACTGGTTCACCTGTTCAGAGATCCATCTGGGTCTGGTCCCTGACTCTGATCTCCCTGGTCTCTCTAGACCCCCCCCCCTCCATAGCATACCCATTACTATATACTTTGTGTTAAGTTCTACTGTTTGGAAATGTGTCTGAAGATAGATACAAAGTACCCCACGACCATTGTCAGCTCTGGTGCCTTTGCATTCATTCTTCAGATTAGAAGTGGCAGTGGTAAACATCACTGTAGTCATGGGAACCAAGACTTTCAGCGACACCAACCTGGAGAGAAAACAAGTGCAGAAGGTTATTGTTCACAAAGATTACAAGCCGCCCCACCTTGACAGCGACCTCTGCCTGGTCCTGCTTGCCACACCAGTCCAATTTAATAAAGTCAAAATGCCCGTCTGCCTGCCACAGAAGGAGAGCTCCTGGGACCGGTGCTGGATGGCAGAGTGGGCATCTACTCATGGCCACGGTATGCACCTTGCCTTCATGCCAGTATGAAGGTCACTTGTAGGCTGCCTTCCAGTGAGCAGAATGATGGTTTAGATGGGGGAAGACTCGGGTTTGAATTTGTGACAGCATCCATTACCTTCTTCTTCATCATCATTTTCCTATCCACAGAATAACAACAATGCCTCCCTCAACTAAATCATGTAGATGAAATGAATGAAATTATGTAGATAAAGTCCCCTGCAAATACATGAGACATAGAAGAATCTCAAAACTTGAAAGCACTGGCCATAAAATGTATTTGGCTCACACATCTGTTAGCCTCATATAGAGTCCCCCATTTGTTGATATAATTAAATCAGTGGTTTCCCTGGGTCAGTGAGCACCAATGGTGCTGCTCATTCTCCTGCAGAGCACAAGGCTGGTCACTCATGAACCATGAGCAAAGAGAAAGCCGGGATTTCCTTTAGCACTGTGGTTACTTCTGCCTAGAAGATGCCTCCACGTGTCTGTTCATCTCACCAAAGACAAGATGTGGGTCACTGTTGCCTAAGCACTTGGATTGCTCTAAACTTCAACACTGGGACAAAGTGTAGCTTCAGAGAAAGGATAGGAACACAGAGAAATCTCCATATAGTGTGCTTGGTAAGGGACTGAACTTGCTTCTCTAGGCATATACATTCACAGAGGGACTATTTGTTGGGACACCTCGATGACAGAGCGAGGTCTTGCACTAAACCATCCAAACTATGGAACCTGAGAGTCTGACTTGCTGGGCACTGCAGCCCCCTCCACCCCCCCAGGGACTTCCACTCTGATGTGTGTGGGCTGCTCACGGCTGGCAGCCAATGCATGCTCATTCTCAGGCTAGCTTCCTTACTTTGCTAGGCTCAACCAGAAGCTTAAACATGCACCTGAAGAAGCTGAGGGTGGTTCAGATTAACTGGAGAGCATGTGCCAAGAGGGTGACTCAGCTCTCCAGGAACATGCTTTGTGCCTGGAAGGAAGCGGGCACCAACGGCAAGTGCCAGGTATTCAGCCCCTGCCATACCGCTCCTCCCCAGCCCCCATGATTCTTTGGTTCCCAGAAGGGGTCTAGGAGGGAGGCCCTCACTCAGACCACTAGCCACCCCTTCATACCCTCTTGCTGGATGGGTCCACTGGCCTCTCACAAATAGTGCTTCTTGCTTTTCTCATTCCCAGGGAGATAGCGGGGCACCCATGGTCTGTGCTAACTGGGAGACTCGGAGGCTCTTTCAAGTGGGTGTCTTCAGCTGGGGCATAACCTCAGGTTCTAGGGGAAGGCCCGGTATGTTTGTGTCTGTTGTTCAGTTTATCCCATGGATCCTGGAGGAGACACAAAGGGAGGGAAGAGCCCTCACCTTCTCAAAAGCCTCAAGAATCCCCTTGACTGGCGTTTCACGATGCTCCATATTGCTAAGCTTGGGGTCTCAAATACTGCTTGCTGTCATGTTTGCTGGGGATAAATCAAGTTGCTAAGCTCTGAACTTCTTACTGTTTGTCAAGTCTGTTTGTTCTCTCCCATACTCACACAAGCTTCTGAGGAACGCTAACTATGGGTTGGTTTCTACATCAGATGAGTTAGCCACAGACTTAGCTCCCTGTTTACACTCTAATGTAAGAATGTCAAACTCCATGCTGAGAGAATTGCTGTAGGTGTTGGGGGACCCCAGAGGAAAACATTATGTCCTCTGATAAAGTAGGATCAGGAGGGTGTGATTCAGGAAATCTTTGAAAATCTCCAATGGGAAGTCACCCCATCCTTCCCTATGAAGGAGGCGCCAGCTGCATTGTGAATCTTTTCGGACATTCCAAATTGCTTCTTTCTATCTTGGGACATATCAAACCTAGTCATAGACCAACCTTGTTATGTCACCCGAGCACCCAACCTAGGTCTGTACCCAGGAGCTCCCAACCTAGCCTGCAGATACCTCCATGTAATGGACATGCATAAAGATCTGTGTGTGTGTGACAGGGAGGGCAAGGGATCTCTAATTTAGTTTCAAACTAAAAATTGGAGATTATGACTCAGGACTTGGAGACTACACCTTTCCTTCCATTTTTTAAAATTTATCCAAAAAATACTTCTTGATAACAACTTGTTCCAGGGGCATTGATGTGTATCTACTTCTCCAGCACATGAAGACTGAAATTCCCTAATGACCAAAATCACTGCCCATTATATGTGAGAGTGGATTGAACTAATCCAGGGACATCAGAGCCACCATGCCCTTCTACTGGAGTCACAAAACAAATGTTAAGAATTTGGGCTTAGAAAACTACAAGATCATGTCTGAAGACCAGGACCATATCATGCATCCAAGGGACTAATGGTGGTTACATCTCTAGTTCTCTTCTTGGCCAAGTCTATATAGCATAGGAATAAAAGAGGCAACCAATTATATGGATACAAGAGTTTATTTTCCCATTCATTCATTTTAATACTTTGTGAACACTATGCATAGGAATGATATAGAAAAATATAAGACATGGGAGACTGGTGTCTTTAAGTGTGCACTTCACATTTGTATTACATGTGTACATTCTCTCACAGGGTTTCTTAGTAATTACTTTCACTATACAAACATATATACATTTATGCATGCAATATATATATATATATATATATATATATATATATATATATATAATCTTTCTACCTTCCATTGTCCTTCTATTTTCTAAGAATTGTGGGGAATGGGTAGTCTAACATCTGTAGAAAAGGCACTGGACCATGATAGGGATTATGAAGTACAGTTGTACCTTATAACTTACAGTAAGAGATATATCCTACCTTGTGGCCCAGTATACACACAAATACACACCTTGAACTGACAATTCACAAAGCAGCACACCCTTCACTGATACTGGGTAAGCAAGGACTTAGATATGCAGGACCAAGGCAAACTGCAGCTGTATCTTGGTGGGTATGTGTTCTGAAGGTCTAGGAGCTCCTGTGTGGTTAAACATCCCTGAAGCTGCAGTTAGGATGTGCCTTTTTAAGAAATCATGGTGCCAGGGCACTTTCCAAGTTCCTACATGTTCATACTAATGAAAGACATGTGACCTCAAAAGGCCTTGGTTTCATTATTACGTTCATTTCATTGTGGTTAATCAACCTACATACTTTTCAAGAGGATCATGAAGGAACAAACATATCCTAAAAGGAAGATCTGGTCCATCATGATTTCAGAGGAGATAGGGTCACCCTACCTCATGAATGTGCCACCCATCTCAAAGTATTCATATAACCTTCATATAACAATGAAGGACTCACTGCTGATACCTACCTCGAGGGTAGCCCACTCCAGTTTTTCCTTGCTTTGCCAAATACATTTCTGTTTAATCATTTGTGTCTCCTGACTGAATTTTCCCCTTGAGAAGACAAGAACTGAGAGCTTCCAGCCATAACAGGAAGTGACCTCTGCTTACTAAGGTGTCAGGACCTAATGGGTGTGAGATGGGATCCACTATTTGGGAGCACTTGATGGGGGTAAATCCCAACCTCCACACTGTGTTTAAGGAAGCTGCTGTAAATTTACCACCCAGGACTGGAATTTCATCACTTGGTTCTCAGATCAATTCACTGTCTGGAATTCTTGTTTGTTAAAGGAAACAAACAAGGAGGAATGCTGCTGAAGATTTTGTCCAGTCATTTAGGAAATACCCGACAATGAGAGATTAAGGGAAAGCAGAGCCATATGCCAACAAAGAAATCTCTGGTATTCAGAAACTGTCAGTCTGATTTTTTTTATATATAATAAATAAGATTCTTTTGGAATTAATTGTGGAAGCTTCTTAAGCTCTTTGATTAGATCTTGATATTGAGAATTTCAAACTCCAAGGTATGGGGATGTTGCTATTTTGTTTGATTAGTTTTGTTTTTCTGAAGCTTTCTACCACATTTAATAATTACAACCCTTATAGGAGAGTCTTGTAGTGGAGCCTTGCAGTAGATAGAGCCTTGTAGTAAAGCCACTTGATTTCCTTTCACTGATAACTGAGCTAAGGGTGACAGACGATAACATGACTCAGGAGCACATCATACCACAGACTACCACAGTTTATTTCCCACTAGCAATGAGGTCATTATTGACTTCAGATAAGTCAGGTTGAGATCACACTTAAGAGTCTCATCTCTAAAGAATTTTCTAGAATTTTCATTGGCAAAGCCTGTATTAGGAAATGTGTCAGGGAACAGAAAACACTTCTCAGGCAAAAAGGAATGTAGGACATGGATATGAAGGCTTTATGCAGAGGTCCAGAGGAGGGATGGTAGCATCCTGCCTGGGCTTGGTCAACGACAGGGGTCACGAGAACCCCCTCCTGCTAACGATTTCCTAGTTAGCCTCAGTATCAGAGGATTGAAGTCTGTGGCTAAATTTCATGGCCACTACCTAATGGTGTTTTTATGTCTGCCTACAACTGCTCTGAGAAAATGAATCCACCTTGTGATGGCTGGTGCTGTCACCACGACTGAATCTAGAATCACCTGGGAGACATATTTCTATATGTGCTGTGGGGGACTACTGTGTGTTCATAGAGGTGGGAAGACCTACCCACTGTGGGTGGCACCATTCTCTTGGCTGGGATCCTGGATTGTGTAAGTAGAGAAGGGACTGAGCAATAGCATGCGTTCTACATTTTTTGTTCCAAACAATAAGGGAGCATGACCAGCTCTTGCCACTCTGACTTCACACCACATTGCGTTGTATTATTAAACTCTGAGCCAGAACAACCCGTTTTTGTTCCCCAGTTGCTTTCGACAGAGTATTTTATTGCAGCAATAGGAAAGGGAACTCGGACATGTCCCTTATTCGGCTTTGTTCCAAGGCATCTTGGGCATCTAAGAAACATAGCTTGTGGGTGTCCAGTGGCTAGCTTAAAATGGCACTGAGTTAAAATGCAATCATTGATGTGGGGACTGACTAACTGGCAGAAAGTAGCCAGGAGGGGTCAGTCCCTAGTCTTGAGCACAATACACTGCATACGATGAGGCTTAATCACAGGTAGCTTGGTGTCCTTTTTAATCCTGAAATCAGCATGGCTCATAGCAGTCAACTCATCCTCCACCAGAAAGTTCCAGAAGATGCTGGCCCTGCATTTCCCCATTTGCCCCAGTTCTCCCACTCCAGGTCTGCTTGCAGCTCTTGACTGGGTCTGGAAGGCTGCCTCCTAAGCCTGAGCCACCTGCTGTCCCAGATGCTGTTAGACTTCCTCTCAGAAAGCATTGACCAAAGTACAAGAGCAGGAAGTGAGATGGTCAAGGGGTGATTCCTTCCTGTCCCCTTGCTGTCACTCCTGTCACGGTGCTGCTACTGGCCAGTTCTCATTGATGTGCCCCTCCCTTTTCACCCCCGTGGCTTTCCCTGGGTCTAGGGAAAAGAGTTTCTCTCTCCCCCATGGTTGACTATATTGGTTAGTCTGTTAAATGCTAAAATGTCCATGATGTTCATGCCAGCATCAGAATGTCTCCATCCAAGTCTTCAGAGTAAAATTCCAGCGCCTCCCTGATGGAGCTCAGGCCCTCTCTCTTAACACAGGGCTTTGCCAATCTGAGAACTATCAGCCTCCTTAATTGCACCTCAAAGAGGCAGGCAGGGATTCAGACCAACATGAGAGGCTCCGGAGAAGGGTGACTGAAGCCTCAGACTAGGTCCACCTTTCTGAGCTAGTCTGGCAATTTCATCTCCAGGTGGACAGACAATCACCAGGCAAAATCCCTCCATCACCTCACACCCCTATCCTATTCACTAGATCTGGAACTGGGCTTCTGAAGCACTGCACACGGTGATCCAACTGGTCTCAAACAAGAAAGAAATAGGACAGAGCTGAAATCCAAAAGGGAGAAAGGCAGGGCTGCAATCCACAGGGAGTAATGTCTGTTTGCTAATCTGTCTCCTGCCCCAAATAGCTCTGCTCTCCTCCCCCCCCCCCCCACCATGTTGATGTCTCTCCTGCCTGGGCAGCAGATGCCACCAAGACTTAAATTGGGTCATCGAAGGTGGGGATGGGCTGACACAAGCCCACAGACCATGTCCTCCTCTGACCTGGCTCCCCAGGTTCTTGGCCTGCAGTTTGGAGCACAGACCTCACAAGGAAGGGCAGCCTCCCGGACATCTGAGCAGGGTCTTTGTTCCCTAGAACCACAAAGCGGAGCCCTCTGGGTAGCCAGAGATTAAGAGGTCCTGTCCTGTAGGCAGGGACAGAGGCCCTGGGAGTCTATAGCCCCTTTATTATGGGTAGCTGGGGATCTGCTTGTTGAGAGAGCTTTGGAGGATGCCTTCTAGCAGAACCCTAGGATTCCAGCAGCATCTGGACAGCACAGCAGCTGAGAGTATAATGTAAACAGCATCACTGAAACCTGGACTCTCACCTGATTTCAAATCCTGCCCACTGAACCAAAGCAAGATGATGTCACCTAGCTACGTGCGTGCCTTCAGCCACACCTGATAACCCACCCCCATCAGCCCCCATGTTCTCTGCCCAGCACTATGCTCTGAACTCCTCCTCCTCTGTTTTTCAGACCACCACCAGCATTACTTGAGCAGTGCCGTCCGCGTATGCATTCTGAGCAAGGTGTGTGCTCCTAACCTGCTGTGACCTACTGTGTAGCTGGTTTGGGAGGTGGAAGACATTTGGAGTTAAATGAAGTCAGAGGGGGGGGGGCCTGGTCTACGGGATAGTGTCCTAAGAATACCTTTGTAAGAGTCTCTCTCTCTCTCTCTCTCTCTCTCTCTCTCTCTCTCTCACACACACACACACACACACACACACACACACACACGCACACACGCACACACTGCCTATACGGGGGAATGAGAAAGTGTAATGTGAGGGCACACAGGAGATGCCTGGTGGGAAACTAAGAAGAGAGCCTTCCCTGGGAACCTAGATTTTGGCTATCTAACACTGCTGAGAAATTTCCAGCAACTCTGTCCTTAATTCAGAAAATAAGCACCAAGTGTTTTATCCACCCAGCCTAGGTTTCTTCAGCATTGGCAGAGGAGGATAGTATTAAAAAACTTCTGCTCACATGGTGAGCCTTGGAATTCTAGCAAAGGTGCTATCAGCAAGTGGGGTGTGTGTTACTTTCCTAAGAGTAGAGAGGCACCCTCGGCAGATTCCAGGGTGTATACAGTTCATCATGGTAGGGGAGGGCAGGCTGCTCTCATGGCATTGGGAGCTCATCACTGGTCACATCATGGCAGCAGAGAGTGAGGAACCTGGCTCACAGTGTGGGCTGTGACTCTGGCTAAGAACACTCATTGTGTAAACAAGAGAACTTGAGTTTTAATCCTCAGCACCCACCTCATGTCTGGGTATGGCTGCAAATACCCAGGGCTCCAGCAATCGGGAGCAGGGGGATGGGGGTGGGGGAGAACAGAGAGATCCTGATAACTTGCTGGGCAGCCAACCTAACCCAAAGGGCAAGATTCAGGGGCAGTAAGAGGCTCAGTCTTCAGAGAACAAGGCAGAGAGAGCGCACGCGCGCGCACACACACACACACACACACACACGCACACACACACACACACACACTCACGCACGCACGCACACAGTGAGAAGCAGGGAGAAACAGGCCAACTGTAACCTTCAGACCCGCCCCTACTAGGTTATATCAATGAGACAGGCCCAAGGTTCAAAAGATTCCATCCTATCTACCAAAACAGTACCACACAGGCACCTGTAGAGGACATTTCACCATCGGACTGCAGCAGGACCGGCAGTTGTGCCCCTTACATCAGTGGATCTGTTTGTGTGCAAAGTGCAGTGGAGTTCTAAGTCTGGCTTCTGCATTGTCATTTCTAAGGGGCAAATGGAAGGTCCTGTGAATGGAAAGTCATGCACATGACCACACAGTAAGACATCTAACTCATTCCTCTTCCGAGTCCTCTACTTGAGCTCCAGCCCCTGGCGATGGCAGGTGTTTTCTCTATTCCTGTGGTTTTGTCTGTCCAGAATGCCATGACATTGCAAACATACGGCAAGAAGCTATTTGTGCCTAACGCACTTGTGTTTGGGGTGCTGGCTGGTTCAGTAATGGCTTCTCTTCACTACTGAGTGGTCTTACTGCTCTGCAGGTATGCCGCTTTGTGTAACCCGGTTCCCCAGGCATGGGCATGCAGGTTGTTACTAGGGTTTAGTAGTTACAAGTAAAGCCACTACAAATGCTAGGAATTGTCTTTGGTGTGGACATGTATGTTCTTTCTTTCATTTTCTTCCTCCCTTTCTTTTCACAGAACAGGGTGCTGAACCCGGAACCTCACATATGCTAGGCCAGCACGGTACACTAAGCCTCATTCACAGCCCTCTTTTTATTTACTTATTTTTTTATAATTTGCAATAAGCTCTAAGTTACTCCAGCTGGCCTTGAACTCATTCTGTAGCCCAGCCTGGCTTTAAACCACAAGGTTCAGTTACTAAGAAACGGGCAGGAGATTTCCCCATCATTTCTGGTCCCCCACCTGGCAGTGAAAAGGTAGGATTCTGCTTGATGAATCCAAAACTCAGCTTATAGTCTTTGGCAGTGTTAGACATTCTCTATATGACAAATATCATATCAAAATAATGAACTGTTTAGCATTTCATGAGGCTTTCAGTCGTTCTGATGAGGCATTTCAAAGAATTTAAACAGATTTACATCTGTGTGTGTGTGTGTGTGTGTGTGTGTGTGTGTGTGTGTGTGTGTGCGCGTGTGTGTGTGCCACAGAGTTCATGAGGAGGTCAGAGGGTAACTTGTGGGAGTTGGTTCTCTCCTATAACTTTGTGGGTCCTGGGGAATGAACTTGGTCATCAGGCTTGGCCACAAACCCCTTTCCCTGCTGAGCTGGCCCACTTGCAAGAGTTTTGAGAAAATTGAAAGCCTTATAGCATCTTGGAGCCAGGCAGTGGTGGCACACATCTTTAATCCCAGCACTCTAGAGGCAGAGGCAGACAGATCTCTGAGTTCAAGGCCAGCCTGGTCTACAGAGCGAGTTCCAGGACAGGATCCAAAGCTACACAGAGAAACCCTGTCTCAGGGGAGAAAAAAGAAAGGAAAGAAGGGAGGGAGGGAGAGAGGGAGGGAGGGAGGGAAGTAGGGAGGGAGAGAGGAAGGGAGGAAGAAGGAAAGCTTGGAAACTGCTCACACCTGCAGCTCCTAGCCAAACCTCTGTAGTGATGGCTGTTTTCACATCTGTCACCTTGTGGCACTTTCTTTTGGAAATCATTTGGTGTCCACAGAGCTGGGGAGACTGTTTATTCAGATCTGACCTTTAGTTAGCCAATTGGTCCCACACAATTAGTCTGACAATACTTTTGTTTGAACTTAGCAAAATTGCAATAGTCTGCTGTTTTCTAGGTTTCTACACCTCAATATAGGTTTCCCCTTTTGAAACAGTGTTTAATTCCCTGGACTGCTAAGCCTGGCTTCCACAAATGAGTAGCCTAGAATACCAGCAAGTGTTGCCAGGAGTCCTGAGGACTCACAGTGCCAGCATGACTTCCCACAGAGCCTCAGACTGTTCCAGGGCTCACACGGTGCTGTGGCTCCTCCTCTCTAACTCCTAGTGGTCAGCCAGTCCTGACAGCACAGTCCATTCTTCACACGGGGTTCTCACTGTGTGTCTAAGGGATGCCGAGTCATGATGGAAGATGAGCTGGCCTGTTCCAGCACGTCATTTCTGTAACCAATCTCATCTGCTGTGGTCTACTTCCCAAGGAGTTCTACCTTCTGAGTTTCGTGCCTTGAACGTGTGTGTGTGTGTGTGTGTGTGTGTGTGTGTGTGTGAGAGAGAGAGAGAGAGAGAGAGAGAGAGAGCATGTGTTGGTATGTGGAGGTGCACACCTGTTTGGTGGCCAGAGGATAACCTTGGGTGTCGCTTCTGAGGTGGGCGAATCCATTCATTTTGAAACAGTTTGTCATTGGTCAAGAATTCACCAAGTAGACTAGGCTTACTAGCTATAAAGTCCCTAGGGATTTATTTGCCTCTGATCCCCTCCTCCCACTGAGATTATGAGTATTTACATGGTTATTTTTATGTGGGTTGGGTGATCAAATTCATCCTTGTTCTTTAAAGCTCTTTATGGACTAAGCCATCTCCCCAGCCCCGTCATGGGGATTTTGAGGGTCGTAATTTAACCAGCAGCAGATCCCTCCTGCTCTTCCTCCAGGCCACTGTTAGCCTCTGCTTTTTCCTTTGAGAACTCTGCCCCGTGGCCCCTTCTGCAGTGTGACCCTGCCTTGTCCGCCAGTGACACCTGTACTGTACATCTCTGGCACAGTGACCCCAGTGACACACCCTTACTCCATGGTGCTAAAGCACTCTCCTTGCTCTGGCCCCCACCCACCCACACCCCAGCTATAGGAGTTCACAGAGCTCAGGGAATACCCAGTTCCCATGACTTCATCTTCCAGGGCTGGTGTGTGAGACACAAATGAGAAGTGAATACAGACAGGACCCACCCCACACCCCACACCCCACACCCCACACCCCACACCCCACACCCCACAAAGGGTGTGCCCCCATCACACCAGGCTGCACCACTGGAGCTTCCTGATGAGAGGAATTGCTGGTCAGGGCGCTATCTTTGTAAGGAGGCAGTAGCAGCGAACCAGAAGGATTCCGCCAAAGCCTTGGAATCCTACAGGGCCTGTGCTGGGATACAGGCCTCAGTGCAGTGGTTCTCAAGCTGTAGGTTGAGACCCCTTTGAGGCCGAACCACTCTTTCACAAGGGGTCACCTGAGACCACTGGAAAACACAGATGTTTACATTGTGGTTCATAATAGTAGCAAAATTACAGTTACTAGGTATCAAGGAAAATAATTTTATGATTGGAGCTCACCACAACATGAGGAACTGTATTAAAGGGTCACAGCATTAGGAAGGTTGAGAACCATTGTCTAAGTGCGTTACCCTCTCGACACCACAGAGATGTGTCATCATCCATTTTCAGATAGATATGGGCACCCAAGTTAAGTGACTCCTGTTGGTGACATGAGCTACTCCATGGAGTGTGCATTGCTATCTCTGCTGTGTCATCTGGTTTATATGAGCCACATACCTCAGCTTCCTTCTCATTAGTACAGGTTGTGCCTTCAGCCATTGTGTTCTGGGGCATCCTTAAACCAGTGTGTGGGAGTTCCACTGTTTATGGAGCTCCCCTACTCCACCTCCTATCACCCTCATCATCGCACCCTCCCCATCCTCCTCTGCCTGGAGGATTGGGAAGGACATCTGCTGCTCAGTATGGTCTACCCGGGCCTATTATGATCTCAATGGTCATCTAGACTCCGCCCTCCATCCCCTTGCCTCAGCTGAAGTTCCCCAGTGGTTATGTGCAGGCAAGCTAATGAAAAGATGGGATGGAAGAGCAGGGCTGTTGCTGCCATTGGCCTTCCTGCTTCCCTGGACACATAGCTCACTGGCATGTAGGTCTCTGGGGACCCTATGGTTCAGTCCCTAAGGGGTGGTAGAATCATTCAGAAGCTAGTTCCAAAGGCAAGTTCCCAGGAGTGCTGATTCAGTAGTTGGAGGGGCAGGATTTAGGAATCTGAGGTAGCTGGTCCCTGACAAATGATGGCTGAAACTCTTATAACACCTGGTATTTAAAGATGCTTGGTGGGGAGAGCCTGGTGTGTGTGTGTGTGTGTGTGTGTGTGTGTGTGTGTGTGTGTGTGTAAGAGAGAGAGGGGGGGAGAGAGAGAGGCTTGTTATCTATGTAAGTACTAGAGTTTCCTACATGTACACTCCCATACATATTTCAGAAAAGGTAGCCATCTATTGGGGTAGTGATGTCTACTGGCCACATTGGGAAGGCTTAACTCCCAAAAGATCTTTCTAGAATCCTTTCCTTCTGTCACCATGCTGAAAACCTTCTAAAGGGTCTATTGCAAAGCCACCATGTTACAGCACTCAAGCAAGGTGGGACAACAGTGTCCCCAGTGATGGGCTCCTGCTTGAGTTTAGAGAATGTATGCAGTCTGGGTCAATAGGTTGGGTAACGAATTTCAAAACCCCTGCCCCAGGGTGTGCTGTTTTAGAAACTGTGTTTATAGCAGAGAAGGACATGGATTTTTCCTCAGGGGTTTTGGGCTATCTGGTGGTGGGGATGATGCCTTAAACATAAACATGAAAGCTGCAGTTCTTTCAGGCCTCTGATCAAGCTACCAAGGAGGATGAGTCAAGAGGATCTCAGGTTCAAGTCTAGCCTAGGCTACAAGAATGAGTTCAAGGCTAGCCTGGACAACTTAATGAGACTCTGCTCCCAATATAGCAAATGAAGAGGGCTGGTGAATGCTTGCTCACAGGTAGAATGCTTACCCACCCCCAGGATGACAACAACAAAATCCTTGAGTTAACTTTGTTGTTGCTTGTTTTCTTGTACATGGTATGAAACTGGCAAAACAGACTGGCATTGTGGAAAACCTGGGAGGAGCCAATGAAATCAGCTGGTCTTTCTGTACTCACCGCACTTGATTTTTCTGGTGGGGAGGCACATTTGCAAGCACCACGCAAAGGCTCTGCACAGGGAAGGAGCTTAATACACTGCAAAGGCAGACAGGCGAGTATAAATGGGTCAGAGTGAGGGGAAAGAGATCTCAGTGCAGAAATGAGAGATCCACAGGGCCAAGATATGTCAACCTTTGTCAAAACGCTGAACTCGGAGCTCCCAGTTCCTCTAGACTGGCTGGCCAGCAAGTCCCAGGGATCTGCCTGTCGTCACCTCCTCCATGAGGGCACCACCGTGCCCAACCTTTCACATGGGTTCTGAGGGATCAAAATCTGGTCTTTGTGCTTGCATGACAAGCACTCTGTCAACTGAGCAATCTCCCCAGGCCTGTCTGTTCTTGACAGCGACACCGATGGGTCAATCCCAGGATTTAAACCTGGCAAGATGGTGTCCATCCACAGTACCATGTGTACTATCATCAATCATGACTCAGTTCTGCTGCTGCTTGGCTATGCAACCCCATACGGAGACCAGGTGACCTTTCCATTGGCTTTTGAGAGGCATTTCTCAGGGTCATGGGACTCAGAACCCCACCAACAACCCAGCACTGCCCACCTGCCAACAGAAACTGCTGGCACATTTGTGAAGCTTTGATGCATCCTCAGACTTGATTGCCAGGGATTGAAATACAGTACTGAGAAGGAGGAGGAGATGGAAAGGGAAGAGAAAAAATGGGAAGAAGAAAGGATAACAGGGAACTGGAAGAGGAGGAAAGGAGAAGAAAATAGAAATAACACTGGGAAGGCAGCAAAAGATGTCAAAACGACACTGTCAAATAGGAGACGTCAGACTCCCTTTTGCGGAGAATTGGGACAATCCTTGGAATTAAAGTGGCATGACAGCTTATTCCCTAATCACAATAGGCAAATCGGGATAGGAATTGGAGAAGAGTGGGACCATCTTCTCTTCCTTTGACCATTGGGTTGATGCTTCTCCAATGAGAAAAGCTGATATCAGGAGTTTACAAACATTTGTTAAGTGGTGCTGGTATTCTAAACAGAATACCTAATACAAAAAATGATACTGCAATAAAGGCAATTTACACCCCCCCACATACACACAAAATATTCCTGTAGCCCAGATTAGTCTTAAGCCCCAGCTTCTGGAGCCTCAAACTCCAGCAGAGCTGAGTTGGAAGCATGGGTGATGGCCTAATGACAATGACATTCACACAGTTCTTACAGGAAATTATAGCAATATTTCTATTCCGGCTTTCTCTAGTCACAGTCACACCCCCACATGTCATCAGAGCCACCACCATCTTACACACACTACCATCTCCACCACATACACCCCACTAACACATGCCAGCTTCCTGGAAGGTTCAGGGAAGCACACATTCACTGTGTACAGTAGGATGCCAGATCTGTGGCATATTTCAAAGGACAGTGAGGCATAATTTAAAGAAAGGAATACCATTCCACAGACTTAGGGGAAATAGCAAGATCCAGCTATAGGCCACGTGGTTTTGAGTCTCCCTTCTCACAGCCCTCAAAGAATCATTCCAAGAAGCAAATGACAGTAAAGGTGGCACTCAGTGTACTCCACACTTGCGTAGACATGTGGTGGACTTGGACCAGCCTGTGGGTCCCCTACCATTGTTGCTTTGCTGAGCCCTGCTGCCTGTGTGAGTGGGGAGAGTCAACTTTGGGGTCCTAGAACTTTCCTCTTTCTCCCTCCTTTTTTTTTAGTAACATGTGGCCAGAGGATAAGTGCCACATCTCAACAAGACCACAATGTTTCTGCTATCGTGGGAGGGGAATCTGTGGACATCTCTGAGTTCCCATGGCATGTGGGGATTCTGATTCATGGCAATCCCATCTGTGGGGGATCTATTCTCAATGAGTGGTGGATTCTAACCGCATCCCACTGCTTAGACCACATCAACGAGTAAGTATTCGTGTAAGAAATGTGTGTGTGTGTGTGTGTGTGTGTGTGTGTGGTATGTGTGTAGTGTGTGTGGGTGTGTGGTGTGTGTGGGTGTGTGGGGTGTGTGTAGTGTGTGTGGTATGTAGTGTGTGGTGTGTGAGTGTGTGTAGTGTGTGTGCTTGTGTGTGTATGTATGTGTGTGTGTAGTGTGTGTGGTATGTGAGTGTGGTATGTGTAGGTGTGTGGTATGTGTAGTGTGTGTGGTATGTGTGTGCGTGTGTGTATGTGTGTATGTGGTATGTGTGTGTGGTGTGTGTGTGTGTGTGGTGTGTGTGTATGTGTATGTGTGTGTGTGGTGTGTGTGTGTGTGTGTGTGTGTGGTGTGTGTGTGTGTGTGTGTGTGTGTGTGGTGTGTGTGTGTGTATGTGTGGGTGATGGTGGTACTAGAGATAGAACCTAGGGGCCCATGCTGGGCAAGTGCTCTCTGCAGTCCAAGCCTTCTTATTTATTTATTTATTTATTTATTTATTTATTTGTTTGTTTGTTTGTTTGTTTATTTTTGAGACAAAGACTCACTAAGTTTCTGGGCTGACCCTGAACTCATTCTGTAGCCCTAATAGGCCTTGAATTTAATAATTTTCCTGCTTCAGCTTCCCGAGTATCTGGCCGCACAGGCCTGTGCCAATAGCCTTAACTTAGAATTTTCTTTTTAACCAGTGTAGCTGAATGCTTGTCCCAGATGCTGATGGCCCTGGAACTTCATTCAACCAGCCTTGTGACACTTTGAAGTGCTGAAATGGCCCATGTGGCTGAGTATTCTACCAGACTTCTGGGAAGTGAACAGTTCCCTTCCCAGGGTCCCACACATCGGCTGTGTGCCCAGGTGTTGCATCTTTCTAAGTGCCCGTGGACATGATCCGACCTAAGCTGTTTATGCAGTACATGCCTCTCACTGAGTACTCTGAGGATGAGCCTGGAGGATGACTTGTCAGGGGCCATCCTAGGCTACATAAGGGAGACCTTGTCCTAAAGACAAATGAACAGAAACCTTAAATAGACAAAAAAGTATATCACTATTTGCTCTTGTTGGAGACACAGTGGGTGGCGAATGAGCACGGAGTGAGAAGGGCATTGAAGGCACTGGCGTGTGAGGGTGGGGCTCCAGCCCCTGAGCACATATTGCCAGCTCTGGGCTGGTGTAGAAGTCCTTGAGTTCCATGACCCTTGCCAGAGTCTAGTTCTATAATCAGTCCAGCCCTTCTTGAGAATCAAGGATGATGCCTTGGAGTCCTTCATCCTCCTAGATGCTAGTTTGTCCAAGTAAGGTCATCAGGCTAGGTGCTGAAGTCCAACTGCCTCCTGCTGCTCTAATCCCTTTATCCCCCCAGAGGCAGAATGATGTTTCCCTTGGGGATTCCTCCTTCCCATTTCTATCATTTATCTTTTCTCTACTCTTATTTTAAATGAGATCTAACGTGGAGATCATGCATGGCAGAGATAACCTCAACAAAACACAAGACCTGAAGTATAAGAAAGTGGACAAGATAATCATACACCCGAGGTTTGATAGCTGGCTCATGGACAATGATATAGCTTTGCTCTTGCTCAAATCCCCATTAAACTTGAGTATCGACAGTGTACCCATCTGCGTTTCACAAGTCTCCAACATACTGGCATGGGATAACTGCTGGGTGACAGGATGGGGCATTACCAATACCAGTGAGTGATTCTGGGTTTGGTATTACATACAGGGTGGCCTGTGGTTGGTGTTCAGAAGGGTTAGAAAATTCTAGAAGCTCTGATTACCCTTGAAATTTTGCCTGCTAGACCTGGAGATATCAGTCACCATGATATACATTATCCTGAGTCCCTCAGGCAGTCAGCCTTCATGACACTTCTGGGAGCCTGGAACAAATTGTATGCTTACTCTATAGAACATGAATACTGAACAGCACCTCAGGGGAAGTTTGCTAAGCCCAAAAGTTCACTCAGTATCATCCTGAGGAACTATGGAAGGACACAGGGCAGCGTGTGTACTAACCCTGGATGATTGTGTTAGCATTGCACTTCTAAGGCCAAGGTCACAAAGTATTTGAAAGCTACAGATCCAGACCAAGGGGGAAAATCCACTGAGTATAAAATATCCTTTGAAGAAGCAACCAGCAGTTCACCCCTAACCCCTTCCCATTATGCCTGTAAACTGATCCTTTTAGCCCATGTTCTCAGTGAGCATGTCTTGCCCCATAATGATTCAGCAGGGAACACTTAGCAAGTCATGCTGTTTCTCAGTGTAAGTCCTTACATGGTGTTCTGGTGTTGTGATCCCAAGTCTCAACCTTGGTGGGAGTCAGTCTTTGATGATTTCCATGAGGTTAAAAGAAACAATGAAGTTCTTAACACCAAAGTCCTCAAGTATCATTCAACACACATGCCTTGACTGCTTCTCTGTTCTGGAAGCATCCTAGACACAGGATTCGGCAATGCCCAAAGAGAAAGAAAGCATCCACATTCTGCAAAGTGAGTGCTTCTCCCTGGTGAATGTCTCAAGGGGAATAGAGTGATACAAGCCCACGTATCTGTCTGGGTTCTCTTGATCACCATGGACTCAAATAAAACACATTTCCAGGACTGCAGCTGAGGCTTGTGCCTACTGTAGGGCCAGAAGATGTTAAACTAAGGCTGAAATTAAGCAAGGACCTAGTTCTAGGGAACTATGGATGCTTAGGGGATCTTGACAGTCTTCTGAACACCCCTTCCTCTCCCACATTCACACCAGAAGTTATCTTGTCACTGGGGTGATATGGGAGGGTGCTGGTGCCCAACTTAATGGGACCAAAAATTAGCTGAGGCTCTCTCCCCTCCTGCTTCTCTTCTGGGTCAGGTTTAGAAAGACTGCAATCCTCAAAACTGCAGAAGGTTAATGTGGACCTGTTCAGATGGGACTGGTGCAATAACGCTTTGCCTCTAATAACCAAGAATATGCTGTGTGCTGGGACTCAAGACGGTGGGAAGGATGCCTGCCAGGTAATGGGTTGGGCTCAGTCTGGGGAGGGTGACTGGCTTTTCTATCCAGTGGATGAGATGCCACATGGGTTCCCTGGGACCACTGTAATAGATAACCAAAGCTGGGTGGATTTAATCAACATATAGGATCCTCCCACAATTCAGGGTGATGCAAGCCCTAAAGAAGTGTGTGAGCAAGGCCTGTTCCCTCCTCAGCTCTAGAAGGGGAGCCATGGCCACTGCTTTAGCTACCAGTGTGGTCTTACTGTAACATTTGCCTCAGTCAGGATGGGGCCTTCTCCCTGTGAGGGTGGCTTCCGATTTATTTATTTTTTTTCCCCTACGTCGTCTAAAATGTGGTGCTTTAAGTATTGCATTTTAACACAGCACTGCTACACTGCTTTTTTGGTTTGTTTTTGTTTTTGTATTTGCCATATATGTATATATCTGTGTACCTGGTAGATCCAACCAATTTCTTTTTATGAGGCATGATGGATTTTTGTGTATTTTATTCACTTTTGGCAACTGTGAGCAAACCAGAGAAAGCTGGGCTGGTAGAAAATGCATTCCTGGGGAAAGCATACGTTTTTGATACAGAGTTACCAAAATAGACAATATATTAATCAATGATGACCTAGGTGGTGGTGGTGATGAAAATCCGTTTTTCTTCAAGTTCTCATTCATCCAATTGCTTTTGACTAAATTGCTTGATACCTATGTAACAGTCACAGCTGTATGGCAGGAGAATTGAATAAAAACCAGACACTTGCCATCACAGGGACTACTCTCCAGTACCTTTCGTCAAGAGGCTCACACTTCAGCAGGCTATGGGGGTAGCTTCCTACTGTCATAGCCTACTTTCCACTCTCCAACAACTTTTCTCTCCTAGGGCGACAGTGGAGGACCTCTGGTTTGCAACAAAAAGACAAACATGACCACTTGGTACCAGTTGGGGATTGTCAGCTGGGGTGTGGGCTGTGGCAGGAAGGACAACCCCGGAGTATACACCAAGCTGTCAAAATACCTGAAGTGGATCAGAAAGAAGACAAAAGAGGCAGGAAAGCCCTATGTGTTTGAGGAGGACTCTGCATGCTCTTCACCGATCTCTTGCTGGGCTATTGTGTTCTTATATTTCGTGATGTTCTAACCAGGTGATGGAACATGATACTGTCCCCAAGCCAAGTGTTCTTCTCATTGTATTAAATAAGGAGCAGGGTGAACTCAAGCTTTGAGGAATGATTCTAGGGTCATTAGCTTCACCTGAACTCACTGCACAGCTATAGGAGGGTGCCAGACAAGCCTGAGGGCCACCAGAGAGCAGGCAGAGTCCTCTCCCAGGGTTGAGAGCCTATTCTAAAGGGGTTAGTCAGGCAGTGAGTAAATAATTGGCCCTGAGGAAAGCCAATGCCACTCACCGCATACACTGTAACAACCCTGTATGGGCCACACAAGATCAAAAACTCCCGACCTGTCATATAGGAAGAATTTATGATACATGGACTGGATTCAAGGAGAACTCCACATAATTAGAGAGAAAACATACAACCATCGTGAAAACACAGAGGGTAACCTGATAAGAATCTGACTGGGGCAGCTGTTCGTTCTGCGGCCTGCTCTCATGTTTTGAGAGAGCGCTTACACTATGTCTTCGATTTCTTGCTCCAATGAGATAAAAAAAACCCTGAGAATTACTGCCCACCTAATAGAAAGAGGGGCAATCCTGGAACCCTTAAGGCAGGGGCCCATTCACTCCCCTCTCATACACATGAATCCTTCTGCATTTCCCTTGAAGAGTAGTCATAGAGTGAGACTAACCTGTTATCTTGTAGCAAGCTATTATCTAGCTGTCCTGTGAGCCAGAGGACAGAAGGAACAAAGTGTCTTCTCCACCCAGAGCCATCAGAAACCCTAAAGGGAACAAGGATGGAGTACACATACACTCAGAACTCCCCCAGAGTATGCTGTGTCTGTATTTTCCAAGCCTCTGCCTTTGACCTTTTAAGACCAGGAGGTGCCTTGAACCAGAGTAATAGAAATTCTATAAGTTTAGAACCATATAAAGGAGGTGTGTGTGTGTGTGTGTGTGTGTGTGTGTGTGTGTGTGTGTGTGTGTAGTAGGAAGAGCCACTCTAAATCTGGGCCACACCTTCTGGTGGCAGGTCTTTATAAAGGACACAGAAGAAGGAAGCTTTTGCTCTTTGCCTGCTTCCCTTCACTCTTGATGGCAAGGTCATTCCTTCCCTGGTATTAGAACCCACTTCCTTGGAATTCTGGTATATACTGAAGACCACTTGAGATATCCAGCTTGTGGACCAAATGCCTATTCAGATTCTTGGACTTTCCATTAGGAGGCAGCCATTGTTGGGATAGTCAGACCATAGCCTGTAAGCCACTCTAAACACACACACACACACACACACACACACACACACACACAGAGAGAGAGAGAGAGAGAGAGAGAGAGAGAGAGAGAGAGAGAGAGAGAGAGAGAGAGAGAGAGTTCTGTTTCTCTAGAGAACTCTGAGTAATACACACCTTTGTTTCTATAACTTCCATCTGGTCCTGAGTCCCACTTAATCTACCTTGGCTCTTGGAGGTCATGATTAGCATGCTAAAATTCAGGACTGGGAAATGACTGAAGCCAGATGTTCTGGTTATATAGGTATGTATCAGCATGCCTAGCTCTGTTTTTTTGTTTTTGTTTTTAATGTATATAGGTTTTTGCCTGCATGCATGCCTGTATACCAATAGCCCATGAGTGTACCCTGGTCTTCAGAGACCAGAAGAGGGTGTTGAATGCCCTGGGACTCAGCTCATGTGAGTACTGGGAATCAAACCCAGGTCCTCTGGAAGACAGTGCTCTAAACTGCTGATTCTGGCTGAAACCACTAAGCTGCCTTTCAGCCCTCATGCTCAGCCTTTAAAACCCCAACAGGAAAGGCAGATGCTCTGCTTGTAAATCCACTGTGCTCCTCACCAGGACCTTTGCTCCAATACTCCTGGGGGAGTCTGTTGTTTAGTAACATTTCCCTCTCAAACACCAGACATACTCAGCCTTATTGGCTCTCTTGAACATCTCCAGGAAAAGAAGTTTGCACCTGAATTATCAATAGCATGTAAGGGAACAGGGGGATTGTGAGTATTGCAAGCTTTACCTGGGACAGCAAAGGCAATGCCCAGCTCTGGGGCATTCTAGCCCTGGACTCCACCACCCATGGTTCTACTGGACAATCTGCTGACTTTCCTTCATGTCTATTCCTTGGAATAAGGGTTGTTTGACCTGGAAACCTGTCCTCTACACACACAGTTCTGCAGTCCCCATTGCCCTAGGAGCCCTGGCCTGCATCTTGTCTGGTTTTAATTTGATGTTTATCCTTTTTATTTGTTTCTTTAGATGGTCTCATGCTGTAGTGCAGCTTGCCTGGAACCAGACTAGTCTTCAGGATGCTGAAATTACAGTCATGGACCTCCATTTCAGATCTGTATTTGGTATTGGAAATTGAATCTCAGATTTTGTGAATGGTAGGACAATACTCTACTGCTGTGTCCCAAGACTTGAATCCCCCCCCCCACTACATATGAACTTGTAGGTTTGAAATTGGCTCTTCGTGTGATGGCTACTCTAGAAAACCAGTGTCTCTTTCTGACTACTGTGACAAGTGTGTAACTCCTCTGATACTGTTTGTTATTGCCATAGTGTAGTTAGTGATAATGAGAAAGAGCTGGGTCTGTGAGAGGCAAAAGGACTGAGGGCAGTCAAGGACTTCCTGTCTTCTTCCAGCTAGGGATCTGAGAATCTTGTTCTGGAGAGGTGAGCCCAGGGGCCGAGAAGGAGACTCCCTGAGCCCATTGGTTCTGGGGACCAGGAATCACCCTGATATGTCACAGAAATCCTGCTAGGCGTGAAGACACAGAGTGACAGAGCCAGAGGGCTGCACCCACCCACCATCATCCTCTCTGACCTAGTTTAGGACCACCAGTCTGTTGACATCTGCCACAAGAGAGAGAAAGGTAACACACAAACAGGAGCCAGGGGAGGAGAGCTGAGCTATTTGGGCCAGGAGACAGATGAAGAAGTAGAAAGCTCTCCCCGTGGATTTCAGTCCATTTCTTTTTCCATGTCTGTGTTTGAGCTGTGCCCTAATTCTTTCTTGTTACAAGTCTGCTAGGGTATTGGAGCACAAGATGACAGAGACTCAATTCCAGGGTCATTCATTTCATCTGGGACAGAGGGCTAAGGGCAGGCCCTGGGCGTGTGCCTTCCAACACGGATGCTGGCACACTCACTGACTGTTTAAACAGAGTGGAGAATTGCAGCCTTCTGAGAAATGTATGGCTTCTCCCCACACTGGCCTGTTCCTATAGACATGTTTCAAGCACTCATATGGAATTGTGAGTCTCTATCCACTGTCTAAGCTAGGACAAAAGACACTGGGACCCTAATGACAGGACAAATGTGCCAAGTGACCTAACAAAAGCCCAGACAGGCCAGGCCAGATTAGCCAGTCAGCTACTTAGGAAAGAGATGAGATGGGGGAGCGGGTGTGAGTTGTGAAAATTGTTCTACCAACCAGAAGATTTTGAGAACTTGTGTCCTAGTTGGCTTCTATTGCTCTGATAACACTGCTACCAAAACAATATGAGGAGGAAAGGGTTTATTTCAGCTGATAGCTTACACTTGCTCTCAAAGGGAAGTCAGCAGAAATCTGGAGGCAGGAACTGATGGAGAAATCCTGAGTACCAGCCTGCTCCTAATGCCTTATTCACTCTGTTTTCTTATACAGCCAAGGACTACCTTGTCCAGGGGTGACACTTCCCACGGTGGGCTGTGCCCTCTCACATAAATAATCAATAATAAAAAAAATGTCCTACAGACTTGCCTGCAGGCCAATTTGATGGAGACTTTTTTGTTTTTAAATTAATGTTCCCTCTTCCCAGCATGAGTCAAGTTAACAAAACTAACCAACCGAGAGAAACTTCCAATGCATATTCTGCAACAGCCCTATTTTAAATAATGTATTATCTTGTAGCAGCACAGTTTTACTCAGTATGATCAAATTACTTGATTATAAAAGCAACAGATGGGTGAAAAAATCGTGCACATTGCATAGAGAAGAGCACAGAAAGGATGAAGGCAGATTTCTCTGGAAACTGCACACCAGAGGAGAGGAAAGACAGTGAAAAGAACCTGTACGTCACTGCCAGAAAAAGGGTTCATTTCAGGAAAAACATACTTGATAAAGTGAAGACTTTCCCAGTTGAATACACAAAAGCAGAACGAATTTCTCAGTACACTTCAGGAAGGATCAAATCGTGCAAGCAGAGGGGTAAAAGCAGAAATATGAGCAACCAAAGAATAAAGAACAGGAGAAATGTCATATATAGGCAAATGCAATTTACCTAAGCAAGAAAACTCCTCACAGGTCCCCGGGAGCTTGCTTCTTAATGGCCTCCACGTCAGGTTGAGCTGATAGCCAAGACCAACCACGCTTCTGTGAACCCTCCTAAAGCAGGGTGACTGTGCGACAAAGAGGACTTTTTTAAAAAAGGGGAGTGGTATCGCTGCTAGGATGAATGAATGAATGAATGAATGAATGAATGAATGAATGAATGAATGAAGAGGGTCATTGCATGAAGCAGCTGTGAAAACCTTAAATGTTCCTGTAGGAATAGAATCTCCAAATCACAAAGCAAACTCAGGGAAACTGCGAAGAAACAAGCACACCCGCAATGAAAGCTGGAGATGTCAACATCTCTCCTACCTGATGAAGCAGACAGGTAGACCACTGCTGGTAAGGGGCCTGAACCACACCATCCACTGACTCTGATGTAATCTGTAGAATATTCCACCAGCAACAACAAAATACACAGCTGGCGAATGTGAGGCACCACAGCAGATGATATTTGGGTCCACAAAAGAGATCATGGTACATTCAAATGCCTTCCAGATATGCATGTAGTGTTCTTACATACGTGCAAGCAAACACACGCATAAAATAAAGATGAAATATTAACAAAATAAACAGGGCAACTATTCTGTTGGGTGTGGTGGTGCAGAGGTAGGCCAATGTCTTTGAATTTGAGGCCAGCTTATTTGAAATAATGAATTCCAGGCCAGCCAGGGCCACACAGTGAGATCCTGAAATTAAGTTAACAAGATAACTTGTTATGTGTAGGTTCTAGACTAGGCATGGGGACCTGGCTAGAGAAGCACTCGGGCCGTCCTGAGGCAGAGGCTGCTTTACTGCAGGGTCTATAGGAAAAGATGAACTCATCAGGACAAGCAGGCTCCACAGCTGTGGCAAGAGTCAGGATAATTGCAGCGGGTCCCATGGTGATTGGGGACAGCTAGGAAGGGGCTAGGAATGTTAGATTCCAATAAAGGAGGTGGTTGGGCATGTGAACTCTATGTTTGTTTATTATGGAAGGCCAAGAGGAGTGAGGGTATGGACGGAAGGTCAGGTTGAGTCAAGTCAGTGGGGTTTCGAGAACAAGACATGCTGATACATGTACATAAGGTAGGGTAGTGTGGTGCTTACCAAACTAAACACATGGTGGATGCACTGGTGTCTCCCAGGAGTGGGGAAGCATCTCAGACTTGAGAGTCAGATACTCCAGGTCCCATGAGACTGGCTTGAATCAAGACCCCACTTGTCTTTGTGACTCGATACAGTGGTCCTTCTGGGACTTGTGTCTCTTACCGGCAGTTTCTAAGGGTCCCTGGACTAGGTTTATGTGCCCAGAGCAGGGTCACCTTGGTAAACCCTCAGTTCTTTCTGTGAAAGGGTTAGGGCAAGGTTCAATGCTGTGAGGGTCCTGTGTCTTCTTCCTGGGGGACATCTTTCCTTCACAGCCAGCCTCAAGCATCACTTTCCAAGGTCGTCTGTTTCTCCATTGACCAGACATCTCTGGGCATCACTCCATTCCTCAGACTCCTCCACCTTCATTCTCCCCTACATGATCTCAGCTGGTTCCATGGTATCTGGCTGCGGCATTCCCAAATTTACCAATCTCAGATTCCTTCCAAGCTGAAGGTCTGCCCCTAAGCTGCCTTACTCCACATCTCCACAGTGAAGCCAGGAATGTGCACCCATCCCCAACCCAGATCTGTGTCCCACAGGCCAATAACACCTGCTCACTGTGCCCAAGCTAAAAGCAAGGGAAAAGTTAGACTTCCTATTGCTGCCACTCAGTTTACCCATTCTCAGGTTTCTCAATAATACTCCCTGAGCCAGCTCTGCCCACCTTGCACAGCTCCCCGCAGGGCACCCTTCTGCAAACGCAACTCCCACTGGCCTTTTCAGTCTCTCCAGTCCAGCCCTGATCACATCTACTTCTAGCCCTTCTACTTAGAAACCCTTCTATTAGCTGAAGCATATAGGGTGAAGAACTGACAGCTATTGGCTAATCCATGTGACGTGTGTGTGTGTGTGTGTGTGTGTGTGTGTGTGTGTGTGTGTGTGTGTGTGTGTGTGTGTTCCTGGCATGCACTCACTGGCAGATTATTGAATGTGGTAGGCCATTGCACTCTGAGTTTGGCGTATTATGGGGGTTGTGGTGAATGCACCTAGCTGAGATGACCCTGCACACAGCTCCATGCTCCCAGGATAAAGACCTGAACTCAGCTAACCCATTCATTTCTTTATATGGTTATGGTTTCTTGTCTTGAAGAGAACATTCTTCTCTTCAAAGGCAAAGACCGAGGAGGTCTGCTTTAAGTACAACTGTCCTTGACATAACATGTGACAGGTACCTTGAAAATAACTATTTGTTTTTAAAGCCAGAGAGCCAGAGGTGCACACACTTGTCAAAAAAAAAAAATGTAATATTTCCCATTTAGGGGAAAATAATCAGGAGGGTTTGTTGTTTTTGTTGTTGTTGTTGTTGTAGGGTTTTTTCTTCCTGAGCTCTGAACTTGGCTTTGCAATATTTCAAATATGCTTCCTGAACAAGAAAAGACAGACATGCAGCAGGCAGTTGCTATTACCAAACTGCGGATTTTATTAGAACAAGCTTTTTCATAGCTGTAAGCAGAATGTTAGAATTCATTAAGGTCACTCATGTCTTTTCTCTACACAGACAGGGGATGAAGGAGGGAGAGAAACCCCTTACACACATCTAGGGTTGGCAGAACAAACCATTTTAGCAAATGATTCATGGAGCCTGCAGGCATTAATGAATCAGGCACCTGAGGGCAGGGGAGGGGTGAGGTATATCAGCACAGACCAAAGAGTCCCAGTACCTTGTGCCCTCTCAACCAGCTCCCTGCTTCAGAACCTTTAGCATCCCTTTGAGCCCAAGCAGATGAACACAAGGCATTCATTATCTCCATTTAGATCCCAAATGATCCACTAAAATGTCATTCTCTACCCCCACCAGGACTTAGAAGACAAATTACAATTTATCAGCTTGTCATAGCACTTCCTGTAAATCAAATCCCAATCACAACCAGATCATGTAAATGCCCGTGTGGTATGTGCTTTTTAGAAATTGATTGATGCAAGTCACAACGGTGCTGCTCCATCCAGCGATCATGGTTTTTGCAGGAACCTCCAGCCAGGGCCAACATCATGGAGAGAAATCATTTTTGAATGCCCATTGGGCAGGACACTCCAGTGCCTCCAAGGCCACAGTAGCCGTCCGGGTTCTTGTTCAGGTATTGTTGGTGGTAGTCTTCAGCATAGTAGAACTCCTGTCCCTCTCGGATGTCAGTGGTGATGGGGCCGAAGCCGTGCTTTGTAAGGACCTGTGAAGAAAGGGAGAGACCTCAGGACCTACTTCTGGACATAGGACTCCTGAGAAGGAGGGAGCATGGTTGGCAGGGGGATACAGGGCTTAGGTTGTCAGCTGGTTCTACCTTTCCCTGGTAGGTAATCCTATGTGGGTGCTTATCAATCTGCCTTGGTGGACTGAAACTTGAAATTGAGTGTGAATCAGAGTTTAAAATGTTTTCTTTTTATCACATGTGTGCGCATGCATTTTGCACGCCGTAGCACATGTATGCAGGCCAGAGGACAGGTTGGGAATGTTCTCTTTCTACCATGGGGACTCTGATGATTGAACTTGGGCTGTCAGGCATGGAAGTGGGTGCCTTGACCTGCTTTAGAGCCTGGGGTCAAATGTGTTGTTTATTTAATTTATGTTCTGCCCCCTGGTCCATAACTGACAGGAGTCCCACTTTTGGAAGGCAGTTCCAAACCTTCTCCAGGATAGCAGCAGGGCCCTTAGGCTCCCTGGTTTTCCAGGAGGACCAGAAAGTCAGGCAAGCTAGTCCACAGCTCAGGGACAGGCTCCACCCACTCCCCCTTCTCACAGAGGGGTATATTCTAGGGTTCCTGGAGTCTGTGCTCTGAGTTCTGGGCCAGGAACCTGGAGGTCCTAGTCAGAGGAGGACACAGCCTGTGGGCCTGAATCAGCCCATCATAGCCCTCTGTGACCCAGTTAAGTCTTGGTGGCATCTGCTTCCCCAGGCAGGAGACACATCAACACAAGCGGGGGGAGGAGAGCAGAGCTATTTGGGGCAGGAGACAGATTAGGAAACAGACATTACTCCCTGTGGGTTGCAGCCCTGCCTTTCTCCCTTTTGGATTTCAGCTGTGTTCCTATTCTGTCTTGTTGCCAGTTGCCCTGAAGTACTGGAGCACAAGGCATTAGAAACTCACTCTCAGCACTGAGTCCCCAGTAGCCGAGCCTGTGCGTTGATGAGGATGCTGGCCAGGCTATGGTTGGTCTGTCTGAGACGAGCCCTCACACCTGCCACCAGCCAGTGGATCCCATCTCTGCTCTCAGTGCCATTCACGGCTCCGGGCTTTCTCTGCTTAGTCCTCTTAACCAGGAAGCAGATTCACCACATGTAGGCCAAGTAGGCTTGGTGAGAGCAAGGACCAGCGTCCATGTCAAGGCATGAAGCTGGACCACACAACACAGAGGTGGCGAGGTTTTGTTTTGTTTGTTTTTTGTAGGAGTTAGAAATGAGAACAAGGAACCATTCTAAACCCACTTAAAAAAAAAAAAAAGAACTAGCAGTTGTTGAGAGTTTACTATATGCTAGACTCTGGGAAAAAACCTCATGTGTTAATTTTTACCTCATAGTAGCCACCAAAGAAAAGCTTTATTGTCATCAACCATATAACAAGTATGTTTGATATCACATGCCTCAATTCCTGATATGCTTGCATGGCCTGAACCACAGAGGCAGAATGCCTGGAGACCATGCTGCCCAGGTCCCGGATCCAGCACCCACTCACTTTCTGTCCCACTCATGGGAGAAACCAAAGTAAAATCTAGTGACAGACACAAGGAAGGTGGAAATTTGCAGGGTGTAGTCACTGGGATGGATACAGGCACCTACAGAGAGCTCATCTGTGACTCTGCCACAGTTCCTCCTGGCCACCTCTGAGAGTCTTTTGTCCCTGGGCTACAGGCAATTGAAGACTCATGGCAATAAGTTCCCGTGGTTCAGTGATGACTCCATATGCTAGACCCTAGTGTTTTTCCAGGCCTCTGCTCTAACTGCCCTGCAAAGGCATCCATGAACACAAAATTCCCTTGGTAAACTCCATCTCTGGAATACCTTGGAAGTTCTCCAATTCATGGTAGAACCCCAGCTAACTAACATTCTGGTACCAGAGTTTTCAGAAAAAGAGAGCTTCAGGAGGATTAGCACTTGGGTCGACGGCTGCTGGCACGGTTACATCAGTCAGGGGTGACCTCACTGCAATGAGGTGGGCCAGTGCCTTGGGTGTGCAGTAGTAACAGGTCATCAAACCATCACCAGCATCAGGACGTGCAGCTGGCTCTGGGACACAGGGTGATGGTAAGGATGGGATATTACAGTAAAGAGCAGGCCCCGAGCCATGAATGTACTATCTGCTTCAGGGGGCAGAGAGCTTGCAGAAAGAAAAGGCCAAGTTCAGAGTTCGACATTCTTGGCCCAGGGCAAGCGAAGGGGATCTCTGTGATTACAACAGCTCTGCCTTCTGTGGCGGTGTCTGCACACCTTCCTGGTCTCTGCCGAGAATTCACACACCTTTGCCCTCAGAGAGCACTGCACACGCACTGCGGAGGTATTGGCTTAGACAGCGCTACCCCTCCCTTGGACCTCCCTGTCTATGTGGGCCCTGTGCTCTGGGAAGGGGACTCTTGTTTTGACCTCAACTATACCAGCCATGTTGTGATCAACAGGGATGGGGTTGGGGGGGTCTCATACTCCCTTCCCCTCTTCCCAGGTCACCCGTGTGTCTGTTCATTGCCTCCTTTGTCTGGGTTTGCTCTTGGGAAGGTGGGCAGGGCCTGGCTCCTCCTCCTCCTCTGCCCACCCATATCCTCTTTTTCACAAATGTCGGTTCAACTCAGAGCCTTCTGAAAGCTCATTGAGACTGGATGGTGAGGGGCCTCTCTGAACCCTCCTTCTCTCACAGGTTACTCTTTCCACCTAGGGCATACCAGCTGGGCAGTGCGGGGGGGGGGGGGGGGGGGGGAACTGGGGTGGGGGTGGGAGATAAAGCCCGATTGAGGTTCAGGCAGTACCAATTTCAGCCACAAGATGGCAGGAACTTCACTCATAAAACCTCTTGGAAGCTATAGGAAACTATACGGAGACAGACTGCAGGCCACCTCTTTTTCCTGAACCCCACCCACACTAGGAGACTGGCTCTCCCTTCAGGCTCTACTAGCCATCTCTTGGTACTGAAATGGGTCCTGGGCAGGAAGACTGAGGAGGTTGGCTAATGCAGGCCAGGCATAAGGCTCCTGTGCTGGACAAACTCCTGTTCCTGACTCTTAGGCAGCCTTAGCCTGGTTCACCAGGTTCTTGGCCACCGGCCTCTGTCTAGGACCAGTTAGTTCTCGAGGAAGAGGTGTCATCTGGCTGGATCTCCCCCTTCCCAGCGCCATCTCGCTGACACCGAAACCCTGCCTCGGTAGCTCAAGTGTTTTGTGCTCGGTCTCTCTCTCCCCTCCCCTTCCCTCTCATGTCCTCTCCTCCCCCCCCCCCCTTTCTTGTGTTGTATGTGTGTGTGTGTTGTAAGGGCGAAGAATCTACCTAAAAACTCCAAGCCAGGGTGACACCTGGCTCAGGACAAGTCTAGGTCCCCTAAAGGAAGACATCAGTGCTGATCTTGTTACAACCCTTCTGTCTCCCTCATCTGCTGTGACCCAGGAAGCCTCCCAGGCCTTCTTTGTCTTGCAGGTCCCACTGGAAAAAGCTTTCCTGTCTGTCCAGCGGGTACCGTGTCAGGCTTGCTGCTCTCCTGCAGGTATAAGCAGGCATAGAATGTGTGCAGCCCTGACAAGTCTTCACCCTGGGGGAAAGCCAGCCTACCCTTCACCCTCCTGAAGGAACCCCACCAACCCCCCCCCACACATAGTCCCCTTTTCTGTATCTGAATAGATCCCTATGCACAGGCGACAGTGAGGTGGAGGCCTTCTCCCAGACCCTAGTGTCCTCAGGCCCAGACAGATGGCCTCAGCACCAGCCGCACCTGTGAGCACCACCGATACAAGGGAGTGTCCAGCAGTGGCACAGTGGGTCCATATGACCTTCAAGGCCTGCCTGTTAATAAAACTAAGAGATAAACATATATGCTCGCTCCGCTTACTGCAGCTGTTCTAACAAGCTAATCACTTGACACTCACATCACTGACATTCCCCAAGTGTGGAGTACACTTGGTGCACAGCATGGAAGCCGCCCACTCCTCCATGCCCAAGAAAGCAGGCCGGAGAGCCCTCAGCTCAGGCCGTGGAGCAGTGGCAGGCCCAGCTGGAAATATGTCCAGCCCTAGAGCCAGTACCGACCTCAAATGTGCAGGCCCATCCAATCACCCACAGGTGTTTCCAAAACAGATGACCCTAATCCAGCACAGTGTGAGGTGCTTATGAGGAGAAGCCGACGCACTGGCTCTGAGGAAACTCACCAGGAAAGAGTCCCATGACCTTGAGGAAGAGGAAAAGTTCCAGACATCTCAGAATATACTTTGGGGGTGTGGCAGAGGGAAGGGTCGTCCAGGTTGGGGGATGTATCATAGAAGTAGGACTCAACTTGGACTTGGATGGGGAAACCCTGATGGCATGAAGGGCCTCCATGAACGAAGAGAATGGCATGATCAAAGGCAAGGAAGCGGGGTGGGGAGGGGGCGGAGGTGGTTATGTATTTGCTATGTTCTAAAAGGTCTGGAGGGAGAGGAAGGCTGTCAAGGACAGACAGGAAATGGGTTGGCCCAGGAGCCCCAGGAGAGGAGGCCTGGGAGAGCAGGAGACTGGCCCAGAGGTGGGAGGTCTGGCAGTTGACGTCCACGTGTCCACCCAAGTACTCAGCTTTGCCCTGAGCCCTTCTGCCTCTTTACAACACAGGGGCATGAAGGAGCATGCCACAGCAGCAAAGGGGCCACTTGAACTTGGGCGAAGGTGGCAGGTGTTTCTGAGGCTCTCCTGCCTGTCTGCAGAGGTCTGAAATAAAGTGGGAACCCAGAGGAAGAGGGAGGTCCTCTCATGTTCCCAGGCTGCATCTCCCCACACCTTCCAAATGCCAAACCTTCTTGGGGGATCAGGATGGTCCACGCCCCTTATCTACTGTCCAAACCCTGGGCCTGAAAGGAGTGTCCTCCTGCTGGGTACCAGAAGACAAGGCTCAGAGTTGGATGGCTGGGGTGTTACAGGCTGCTCATTCACCAACCATGGGATCAAGGATTGAAGACTTCTCTGGATTTGATCTTGCCATTGACATTTGCTGGTTGTCACAAGAAATT